ATTTTAGCCATTTTTACATGTACATTACATTCACCAACCTGTGCTACCATAACTGTCCACTTCCAGATATTTTTCATCACCTTAACAAAACTCAGTACCCTGCTTAAGCAATAACTCTCGATTCTCACCTTTCCAAGGCACTCTCATCAGCTTTCGTTGCCATGCATTTATTTATCTATTCTAGTTGTTTCTTAGGGAGCATTGCTGGCCTAGTCTATAAGGAGCTGTACTGCTAATCCAGAACTGTATATACCTCCCTGGGGGTTTGAATCCAGGGAAGAAATTGCTCCAGGGAAGAAAGATGGGCAGTCTTCTTCTGTGCGATTTATAGCCTTGGAGAGCCAATGGAGAGTCAGCTTCCACTTCAGGGTGATGAAGTCTTTTCCTAGAAGTGAAATACTCGTCCCTTGGTGTCTGACTTATTTCACTCAACATAATGTTTCCAAACTCATTTGACTTTTAAATACAAAGGCCCGCCTACTGGGTCCTGATTGCTTATGCTTAAACAAGAGGCGTCTAGCCCACAGCCGATTGTTAACAAAATTAGAAAGGGCCAGTCAATTGACACTTGATTGTTAACAAAATAAAAAACACCCAGACTGTTTACACCCAGCTTTCAAGTAAATAAAAAGGAATCCAGAAACCAACGACCCTAAGCCGGATAGTCACTCTCTGGCAGGACCCAACAAACTTAAATACTAAGGCCCACGCACCAGGTCCTGATTGCTTAAACAAGAGGCTTCCAGCCCACTGCTGATTGTTAATGAAATCAGCTGACACTTGATTGTTCTAAATAAGGCCCCATGAATCTATGGAATACCTGTTGCCTTGTTTCAGTTAACAGGTGCAGCCTTGGATGCACTCACCAGTCTATACCAGGAAATTTGGAGGACAAATGTCTGGTTCATTTCCAAGAAAGGTGGTCCAAATGAATGTGGAAGCTATGGAACAATATAATTAATATCACATCCAAGCCAAATACTGCTGAAGATCATTCCAAAACAGCCGCACTTGTTAATTGAAAAACAAGTCAACTGATATCCATCAATTCCTGGGGTCTTTAAAAAAAAATAGATTCAAGATCATATTTTGGTTCTTGTGGGCTTGTTTTAATTTTCTTTAGCCACAATGTGAACTTGTAAATTGGTGGTCTGACCCACAGGCCACCTGTGGTCTAGTTTTGACTGCTGATACTAAGCTTCTCCAGCGATTCCTTTCATAGATGTAATCAATCTGATTCCCATTCAGCCCATCAGGTGAGGTCCATGTGTAAAGTCTCCATTTGTGTTTTTTAAAAACAGTATTTTCAATGACTAAGTCATTGAAAATACAAAATTCAGTCATCCTATTTCCAGCCTCATTTCTGTCGCTATTCCTTCTTTATTGTTTCCAACGTTTACATTGCAGTCACCAATTATTATGAACACATCTTGATTGAATGTTCTGTCAGTTTTGGACTGCAAGTTTTGGTAAAAATTTTAGGAGATTCATTTGAATAATAGTTGAATTATTTGAATAATAGTCATATTAATAGGTCTTTCTTATATGCATACTATCACTGATAACATTGTATTTCAGAATAGAACTTGAAATTGACTTTTTGACTATGAATGCAACACCATTCTTACTGTGTTTTTCACATATTACCATGTGATTCTGGAAGCAAGAGCGGCATCCACTTACGAAATAGCTTGCCTCCGGAAACTCTATGTACGAACAGTGCTCAGGCCGTTCGTTCATAGGGTCGGTATGAGTCATCTACGACTCAACAGCATCAAACAACAACAACAACAACAACCACCATGTGATTATCTGATTCAAAGTGGCCAAAGTTAGCCTGTCTCATCTCACTATTGCCTAGAACGTCAGTGTTCACCAACAACAACAACAACAACCATGTGATTATCTGATTCAAAGTGGCCAAAGTTAGCCTGTCTCATCTCACTATTGCCTAGAACGTCAGTGTTCACGTTGTTGTTAGGAGCTGTTGAGTCTGACTCATAGAGACTCTATGAACAGAAGATCTGAACCCTGTTATATTCTGGTCCATCTTCACACCTCCCAACACACAAGAGCTCGTTGTGGCAGTCACTGTGTCAGTCCACCTGGTTGAGGGTCTTCCTCTCCTTTGTTGACCCTCCACCCTTCTCAGCATCATGGCCCTCCTAGCACCATGCCCAAACCATTGTTTTCTCCACAGAGCACTCTGGCTGCATCCTCTCCAAGACATATTTGTTTGTTCTCTTGGCCGTCCATGGGATGTTCCATACTCTTCTCCGACACCACAGCTCACAGGTGTCATTTCTTCTTCTGTCATGCTTATTCGTTGTCTGGCTCTTAGATGCATAGCAAGTGATTGGAAAAACTATGGCCTGAGTCAGATGCACCATAGTCCTCAAACTAACATCATTACTCTTCAATAACTTGGAGAGGTCCTTAACTGTAGATGCATTGTGTCTCCTTATTTCCTGACTGCTGGTACCAAGGGTGTTAATTGTGGATCCAAGCAAGATGAAGCTTATACTTATTGATGTTCATGAATTCTACTTAATTTTTCCCAATTTCTCGTTTTTCAACATTAAAGCTACATACATTCCATGTTTTACTTATTCAAGAGTGTTTGCTATTATTTTTCTTCATTTTTACTAACTTCTAATCTGGGCTCTATCACTAATACTATAACACTAAATAGTTTCATATTAAAACGGGAGTGTGTCAGGGTTGTATTCTCTTTGCGTGATTATTCATTCCATATGCTCAGTAAATTATTTGAAAAACTGGACTGTAGAAGAAGAAAGTGGCATCAAGATTGGAGGAAGACTCATCAATAACCTGCATTATGCAGGTGACACAACTTTGCTTGCAGAAAGTGAGGAGGACTTGAAGCACTTGTTGCAGAAGATAAAAAAAAATACAGTCTTCAGCATAGATTGCAACTCAACATCAAGAAAACAAAAATTCTTATCACTAGACTGATAGACAACAATCATGATAAATTGAGAAAAGAGTGAAGCTGTCAGCAACTTCATCTTACTTTGATCCATAGTCAACACTCTTGGTACCAGTAATCAGGAAATTAGGAAACATATTGTACTGGGAAAGTCTGTAGTGAAGGACCTCTCCAAATTATTGAGGAGTAATGATGTCAGTTTGAGGACTAAGGTGCATCTGACTCTGGCCATGTTCTTTCTGATCACTTACTATGCATCTGAGAACTGGGCAGTGAATAACAGAATTGATGCCTTTGGGCTGTGGTGTTGGAAAAGCGTACTGAACATCCCATGGCCAGTGAAAAGAACAAACAGTTTTGTCTTGGAGAAAGCGCATCTGGAGCGCTCCCTAGTGCATATCTGATGGGCTGCCTACGGAACAAACAAGTCTGTCTTGGAGGAAGTACTCCTTTGAAGCAAGAGTAGTGAAGCTCCATCTCACATATTTTGGATTTGTTGTCAAGAGGGCCCAGTCTTTAGAAAAAGACATCATGCTGGGGAAGATGGAGGGCCAGGGAAATAGGAAAGCCCTCAACAAGATGCATGGACACAGTGACTGTGACAGTGGACTCGAGTGTCTGAGATGGCAAAAGTGGGGGGACAAGGTGCAGATCTCTTGTGCTAGGCTTGCTATGAGTTGTAGTCAACGTCATGACATGTAGAAATAAGTAAATATGTATGTATGTATTTAGTGTGCCATCGAGTCTGAAATGACCCATTGCTGACCTTGCAGTGGGTTTTCAAGGGCAGTGATTTGCATGGGAGGAGATTGTCCCTCCTTCTACAGAGCTTCTGGTAGATCCGAACTGCATGCCTTCGGGATTGCAGTGCAGCTTCTTAACCACATAGGAAAATTAGCAAATTCTTAATCCTATTGAGGCAACTCTAGTGGTATAATCTATAGGTAGTTGTGCTGCTAGCCTGAAGGGTCAAATCGGCCAGCTGCTTTGCGGGTGAAAGATGGGCAGTCTCCTGTGTGATTTCCAGCCTCAGAAACCCAGTGGAAGGTCAGCGATGTGTCAGTTCCTGCTCAGAGGCAGTGAGTAATTGAATACGTTGGGTAAGGAGTAATGTTTGAAGCATAAAGATTAATAAAAAATGTTATATTTGCATAAAAATGAAAACTGGGTATCAATAAGGAATAAAAAAAACTTGTTAGAGAATATGAATAAGAAGAGGAGCCCTGCTGGCAAAGCATACAGCACATTGGGCTCCTAACTGAAACGTTGGCTGTTCAAATCTACTAGCGGCTGGAGAAAGATGGGCAGTCTTCTCCTACAAAGATTTCAGCTTTAGAAGTCTGAAAAAGGATCACTGTGAGTCAGCAACACTCCACAGCAGTGGTACGGCTGTTAGCCACCAGGGCTCCTTTCCGGCACATGATGAATTTTGTTGTTGATAGGTGCTGCTGAAGTAGCTTTGACACACGGTGACGCTCTGTATGACCGTGTCTTCTTCCTCTGCTTATCCCCATTGTTACAGTTACTATGGTAGTCCCTCCTGTTGAGGGACTTCCCATTACTTACTGCCCCTCAACTTTTCCAAGCATGATGCTCTAATTTAGGGACCGGAAGTCACAGACAGAACAGTGTCTTCAGTGTGTCTCTGCTTGTGTGTTACCGTGTCTGGGACCTGAGCATCTGCAGAGCAGTGCCTAGCTCTTGTTTATGAGTCGAGGACTGGCTCTGCCTGGGTGACTGCAGGTGACTCATCCCCGGCGCCCTCTTGCCCTGAGCCAGCTTCTGCCTCTTTTAGAGTTCTCTGCAGCTCTGCCCCTCCCCAAGTCTGGGAATACTTTCAGAACATCCCTTCCCAAAATTGCCCTGTATGGGGAGTATTATTCAGGCTGTAGATGTAATGCTTTTCCACAAATACTTAGATGGTCATAGGTTCCATTCTGGATGTTCATACTGCTTTATCAGGGCCATGATAAATTTTAAATCTAGTACTGTTAAAGATACTGTTTTAATAATATTGTCTGATGACTGCTTTTTTTATTTTTTATTTTAGCCACCGATCTACTTCTGGCTTGGAATCCCATTTGTTTGGGATTAGTGGAAGGTGTTATTGGGAAAATTCAGCTTCATTCAGGTATGTTTCTAAAAATACCTTAAACTTGTAAAGTTTGGCATTCTATAAGATTTTTCTCCTTGAAGATTACTGTAGATTCTGTTATGTCTTTGATTACTTTGCCTTAGCTTTGGGTCTGCCTGAAATGGGTACATTTCCACTTAAGTTTCAGTTTCATGAAATAAAAAATTTACAGAAAAGGAGGCATAATGGCATAATCCTTTCTTTTATTTGAAAAAATCTTTATTAAATGCCTACGGTATGTCAAGGACTGTGCTGATAGAGCATGATTGAGCAAAAAGGACCCATCCCCATCCATTCTTACGGAACTTAATGCAATTTAGACGAGACAGGCAGTGGTGAGTAATCGTTAAAATACATGTCTGATTATTTGGTTCCTGTAGGTACTATGAGATGTTTTAAAAGGAGAGGATAGCAGACGTAAGGATGAGGAGAGCAGCCAAGAGGCAGACATGGAATGGCTGGCTCTGGATCAGGTGCCCGTCTCTCATATAGTCAGTCATCTGTGGTGGGGAGGAGTCTGGGTCTCCTAGTATGCAGTGGTCCTTTCCCGGAGTCTTTCCAGGGCAGGCAGATTGGTGCAAGGCCTGTGGAATGGCCCATAGGGTTTCCAAAGCTGTAAATCTTTATGTGGCAGACTGCCACATCTTTCTGCTGTGGAGTGGCTGCTGGGTGAGAACCACTGACCTTTCCATTAGTAGTCAAGTGCTTTTAACCACTCCCCCACCAGAGTTCCTTCTCAGAGGCAATTTTGTCAGTGAGAGATATAATAGATGTTAAATAAGTGACTATGGAAAAAACCTAACAGAAAGCACTGAATTAAGTCTTTTTATGCACTCCATTTAAATATTGTATTTCCCTTGCTATCGGTTTTAATGTGAGTTACGCACTGTGGGAGACTTCGCCGTTACTGCTGTGTGATTGGGACAATAGCTACCTCTGGGCTATGTCCTTTTGATTCTTTCAAAGTGAAATCATCGAGCATTTGGGAGCCAGGTTGATTTTGATATATTAGAAAACACATATTGCTGTGGACATTGTCATTTACTGTGCTAGATTCTTTGGATGGTTTTTAAAATTAAGAACTATTTTACCGCTGTAAACAGCTGACAATGACAGCCAGACAGTTGATAGTTATTAGGAGAGAAGCACACACGTGCTGTCCTCCAGATGAAGAGTGGAGCACGACACGGTTTCTGGAGCTCTTGGGCCACTTTCTCCACTTCCAGCTACTGCTCTTTTCCCTTCAGGAGGACCTGCTACTTTGAATTTTCTCTTTATTATTCTCTAGATTTTTAGTACTGTTTTTTTCTTACTTAATATATCCCTGAGCAGTGTGCTGTTAAGATTTGTGTTTTGTTTTTTTTTAATTATTAAATTTTATTAATTTTAATGAACATTTACAGAGATTTTGGGTTTTCATTCATTCATTGTTGCACTCCCATCCATTAAACTTTATATTTTTGAAGTTTATATATGTTCATATATAAACCATATGATCCAACTTATTATTTTTTTATATGCTCCAACTTCTTGGAGAGCAATGATGTCAGTTTGAGGACTAAGGTGCACCTGATTCAGGTGATGGTCTTTTCAGTTACTTGCTGTGTATCTGAAAGCTGGATTGCGAATAAGAATGAGAGAAGAAGAACTGACGCCTTTGAACTATAATGTAGGAGAAGAATGCTAGATATCCTATGGACTGCCAAAAAAAAAAAAGATATGTATTGGAGAAAGTGCAGCTCTGCTCCTTGGAGATAAAGATGATAAAGTTGAGGGGAGCTCTGGTGGCCTAGTGGCAAGAAGCTGCAACTACAATCCCAGAGGTACACGGTTCGAATCCACCAGATGCTCTGCCGGGGAAGGAGGGGCAATCTCCTCCTGTACCAGTCAGATCTGATTTGACGGTACACGCACACAAAACTTAATAAAAAATAAAAAAAAAAATAAAAAGCTGATAAAGTTGGTCCTTTCCCGGAGTCTCTCCAGAGTCTGTGGAGCTGCACCATAGGGTTTCCAAAGCTGTAAATCTTTAAAACTTAGGCCATATTTGTAGGACAGGCTCTTTCTTAAAGAGGGACATCATGCTTGGGAAGGTGGAGGAATGGTGAAAGAGAGGAAGACCTTTGATCAGGTGTATTGACATAGGGACTGTAGCAATGGGCTTGAGTGTGTTTGTTAGAGATTGTTGGGATAGGACAGGGTTCATCAGATCTGTTGTATGTAGGGTTCACTAAGAGTTGCACTCAGTGACACCTAACAAGAAGATACGGTGATATATGTGACTCTTTATTTTTGTGACTGTACAGTGTTTCATTGTATGAATGGAGTAATTGATCATTTCTCCTGTATAGGTAATTGAATTGTTTCCAGTTTTTTTGCTATTGTAATACTCTTGCAAACATTGCAGTACTTCCTGGCTTCAGTAGATTTTTGAAGAGAAGGTCCCTGCATAGCATTTAGACGTTGTTTAACCATGCTAATTATTTCCTTAACAATTAGTAATTACTTCTACCCATCAACATTTACATACATATGTGAGTGTATTTACTACTGATCAACTTCTTTAGTCCTTATTTTTCCACATTATTTACCTTTTTATTTTTAATACACTATTTTTCAGAAAGCTTTCAAGTTCCTTACTACACTGACCCCCTAGCAGTACCCAAGGCTGTAAGGTGCACAGGGGAGAATGCCCATCTCACTCGGGGCAGTGGGTTTTGAGAGTCAGGGGTTGATTTGAACGGACAGAAAGGTGGGGCCTTTGGGTCAGCAGGGTGGCTCCCTAGTAACTGTGCTCCCGGAGCTCCCTGGAGAAACCTAGTTTTACAGAAGAATTGGGCATAAAGTGTAAAGAGTTCCCTGCACCCCTTTTCTCCTCCTCGTTTTCTGCAATTTCCTCTATTTGTTAAAACTGATGAAGCAATATTAATACATTGTTATTGACTAAAATCCATGCTTTTCATCAATATTCATCTTTGTATTGCACAATCATAAGTTTTGGGGTTTTAAAAAAGTTTGTAAGATTTTATTGTGGTTTTGGTAACAGCTTACACAGCAGCTAGCTTCCCATTCGACAATTTCCACACAAATAGATCAGTGACTATATATTTTCCACATTGTTAAATACATATCTTTTTAATTTACTCACATGCTGAGCAGATAATTTCACAGCCACTTGTTCAGAGTTAAAACACATTTTGTTTTATTTAAATGCTGTTTCTGAAGTCTTTGTGTTCTTTCTCTTCCAGTTTGTTCACATATTGGAGCACTGAAGCAATCACTTGAAATTGGTCGAAAGTCCTAGAGTCCAGATCTATTTCAAGCCTTGAAATATAAATTACTCAATATCTGTTTCTTTTATTTACTGTTATATTTTACAAACAAAAGTCAGATTCACAGCTGTGGATTTGGTTCCTAATTATAGGCTTGAGGCTTATGTAAATAGTAATTGGAGGAAATTGCTGGTCTTTCTCCCAAGGAAGCTCTAATGCCAGTCGATTGAAAGCACCAGAGACACAGGGCTTTAGAGTGAGCACAGCTCACCAGGGACTGGACCACTGCTGTAAGCTACCCCAAAAGTTAATGGGCTTAAACAGCCACAGTGTATATTGTCCCATGATTCTTGGGTTGAACACACAGCCCTTCTGCTCTCCTTATAGGAAGGAAAAAAAAACAAACCAAACCCAAACAAACCAAAACCTATTAAAAACCCAAACTAGCTCACTGCTGTCATATTGATTCCCACCCATAGGGTCCCTATCAGATGGAGTTGAATTGCCTCTTAGGATCTTCCAAGGCTGTGAAGCTTTCCAGTGGCAGAGTTAACTGCTTTATCTTTCTCTCACAGGGCAGCTCCTGGATTTGAACTGCCAGTCTTTTGGTTAGCAGGCCAACACTTCGCAACCACTGTGCCTTTCAGAAAATCCTATGGAATAGCTCCCTGACAATGGGGGTCACCATGAGTCACAGCCAACCTGACACCACATAACAGCAGAAGAGGGAGAATGGGAAGGAGACTGGGTGGGTTGGGGAAAGAAAATAAGACGTGAGAAGATCTCTCCATTTTTCACTCTGAATCTCTGAACCTTTTTCCTCCCTTGTCACATGACTCTCAGCTTTGAGAGGGAGGCAGAGAGGGAGTGGAGGTAAATCTCTTCTGGGCCCTGCCTCTCTTCTTTCTCTCACCTGGCAGGGAATTAACTGCAGGCCCACCTCCGCTCTGCCCCGAGCTTCGTGCCCTTTGAGCATCTGACTCCCTTCCTTCCTTCCTTTCCTCTCTTCCATCTCACCTGTCCCCTGTCCCCTCTGTTTGCACTCTTGCACACGAAGTGACGATGCCCTCAGGATGCTGGATAGGAGGCACAGAACCCTCTGGATTCCTGAGTCTTGGGGGGTGGAGGGAGGAGGCAGGAAGATGAAGGAAGGAAATGCCTGCACTTGGCAGCTTTCTCTTCTCACTCTCCATCACCTCCCACTTCCTCTGAACATATTAATGTACTAATTCTTCTTCTTGCCTAATGAGATGGGAGCATAGATGTATTTTAACAGATGTCACTGACTGACAGTTAGCAGTGGTGTGGGTGCCACCGTTCCTGCCAATGAACCCTGAGCTCTGGGAGGGTGGCAGGCTCGTGGCACTGAGGAGTCTGACATCTGCGACAATGGGTGTTGTAAAGCGGGGCTGTGAGAATGTTCCCTGGTCCAGCGTTGTTAGGTAGTTCCTGCTTCTTGACCTTTGTTTCCGGTGAAAGCAGGCCATTTCCCAGATACCACTAACCATGTACCCACTCCAACCCAAACCTAACGGCCATGTCTCTCTCTGGTGGAACAGCTGGTGGGTTCAAACCCACCCCAATGGTGGACTAATCCTAAGAAACTATGCATGGCTTCATTTTTTCCCTTTAAATCTGTATTTCTTTTCCTTCCCACCCTCCGTAATTTTTTATTGTGATTTTAGTGAAAGCTTACAGAGCCAACAGCTGCTCCATTAAACCCGG